AACCAAGCGGCAGTCTCATCCCCGCCAAAAAATTAAGAAACGGGTGCCTCATTATCCTGGTCAAGCTGGTCGATTTAGGCTGGACATCACCCCCGGCCCCTGGCCACCAGCTCCGACGGCGACTCCTCCTCCTATTATTAGCCTACGCGAACGTTCAATTGAACCAATCAGGGAACCCAAGGAACCGCAACAGCAGGATGCTCGCCTCGTCACATTATTAATGGACGATGTTCGCGGAGAATCGCCCGTTTTCTTGCTCGCTGAAGTTTGGGTGGTTCTTCGAGACAGCGAGAATGGATACTGGGCTCATGCTGAAAACATTTGCTCAGAGCTGCAGGCTAGTCTGGGGAGGATTGACGGGCCCGCTATGGTTTCCGTTCTGCGAGGGAAATATCGACAAGTGATTCTACGAGTCAACGAAGACAACAAAGATGATTGGATACTAAGAGGTAACGTTATTGTTGAACGCAATCGAACGCTACGAGTCATGGTTGAAAACGATTCCGCGAACCTTAGGCGGCGTCGCTCCCAAAGAACAGTTGATAAATCAATGTAACAGTTGAGCACATGGGGCGCCTTGACGTGCTGTGTGAAAGGAATGATCGGTAGCAGCGTGGGATCATCGCCGCAGGCTACTTATTACCTAAAAAATCGTTGTCCAGCGACGGTCCTCCACACCTTAAGATGTCGGAATCTGGTGGGTGGCCATTCCCGTCGTTCACAGAGTGCTGACTTTGTTAGCGTACTTTATGTTCAAGAATCGCCGTTGCTACTATACGCAATTCCGGGGAGATGTACCTCTCACAGGGGAGTATCATTGGGGATGTTGCTGTGAACCGCCATCGGCAGGTGTTTGTGTGGACTTGTGGTTGTTGGCAGGAGTCTGGTGAAGGTGACTATCACCCGGTTTATGAATCGCAAATCCGACTGGGCGGGCGCAACAAGTGGGTCTCCGAGAGGACGTGGCGAACTCAAAGGAACGGTAAGCATCTGCTATTTCGACCGTATAGTCGTTAACAGACGCTAGCAGTACTTGAGTCCTGTACGAGAAACCCATGGATTACGATGCTCATGCGGTGGCAAAACGCACCCTTATGTTTTTATCCGGGTATTTTGGTGAACACCGTTAGTTCTGTGCTTGAATACCTTGCGTCGTCTTCTGGTATTCCGATCGCTCCAACTGAAGAGCTCCAGTATGAAGGTGCTGTTCCTTCGTCGACCCTTGTCCTCCAAGATCTTGCTGCGCTTGGCGACCAAATCATCGAGTATGCAGATCTTCTGGGTGGATATGCGCGTCCGGACAAGGGAGCGAATACAGTTCACTCTCAACTGTTACTTGAAGACCTGACAGAGCATTGGACTCCAGGAGATGAGATCATGGCGCTGTTCGATTTAAGGGCTACCGATCATGGTCTCGGATTGTCCCGCCTCTCACTCCTTCAAATGGTTCCAGATGCAAAGTTCACTGACTATCAATTTGCATACGGTGGCGATTTGGCGCAGCTATTTCCGCACCTCTCCCCTGCACAGCTTCGGAGACAGAAAACGGCCTATTACATCTCGGGATGCTGGGTCCCTTCTGGCTTTCTAACTGATGTTCATATCGACCGGAGCAGCCTCGCACAGCTGATCATGCATCTCGATGGCGAAAAACTCTGGCTGACATGGCCTGGAACCTCCCATAATCTCACGACACTCAAGACGCACTTTCCATCTGCCCCCGTCGGTCATAACGTCATTACCGAGCTCCTCCCTCGTCTTGAAAGCCTCCAGGTCATTCACGCACATGAACCGTGTACTTTCGTTCTACCCCCATTTACCTTGCATTGTGTTATCACTCTGAAAAAGTCCAGCCACTCTGGGTGCTATTTTGCGCATCGGGACTACTGGGGAGCGGCACAAGTTGGGTTGGAATTTACGGAACAAAAATTGGGCGATCCCAATATTGGCATTTATAATAGTATTCAACTCATTGACATTTTCATTCGAGAACAGCGATTCTGGACATCCGTTTTATCTGAACCAGGACATCTGAAGACCCTGAAGGAGTGGAAGGCGAAAATGGGGGCACTAAAAGCTAAATTTGAACAACAAAAGCAAAGTTGAAGATTTTGTTTACGCTGTACGGTTTAGTGAATGGCATACGGTTGCAACGACATGGACTCGTGAGCCTTGTGGCATTGTTGAGTTTGATGAGAGTTTCGGTGACGCGGCGTGGACGACAGGTCGTAAACTAGTGTACATTATGACGTTTCCCGCAAAATTGTCTCGGGGGGGTAGAAGAGAAATTTTAGCCCTCATAAAGGACGCCATCGCGAAGCAGCCAATGTTTCCGCTGCCATTCGCATGAGTTAGGGTTTGGCCTTCCGTCGGGCTCCGCTTCTTTTAATTTTATATTTTAATCAGCGCGATAGGCTTCTTTGCACTGCCTCCAATTCCTTCTTTCGTCCATGTCCATGATATCGTTAACCACTTTTACGGGGCCACTACCCATGCCGATCTTGATGTACCACCAAAACGCTCCTAACACGCCCCCCCCTCTTCAAGACACCTTCCCTCACCGTACGCAGCGCGACAGCGTCTCCATTTCACCTTTTGCTGATCATGTCCACAGATGGGGCAACGACGACGCTCAGAGGGGAAGAGAAACATCACCGACGTACGGCTTCCACTCGCTCCCTCTCATCCTGGACAGACATCGCCGCCGGCGGCCCCACTGGCGCTGCATGCTGCACGCCGTCCCTCGCTCGCGGGCGGCGCACGGGCCACGGACAGGATGCGCACGCGGAAGCACGATAACGGGGGACTTCTGGAAGATGCTGGAATAAAAAGCCTAACGCCTGATGTGTGGGTGTGGGTGTGGCGGCGGGTTCAGGGTCGCGGCGCTGCGCGAGGATTCAGGGTTGGCGCTTCGCTTTCTTCACTCCACCACCACAGCAGCAGCCATGCTTGTGGATCACGACGAGCAGGCCGCTGCCCTCGCCGCCGCCGCCGCCGCCGCCGCTGCGCATCAGGCTCAACCCGCCCACCCTGTTGGCGACCGTGTATGTTCCTCTCCCCACATTGGATTACACTGCAACTAACCTGCCCCTCCTCGAAGAGACCGCTGGGAGGTTTGCACAAAACGCTGGTCGGAAGATTCTAGAAAGGCAGCTCCACCATCGCCATCGATGTCCGTCGTCCTTCACTTGTGTCCTTTCCTGCTAATGAGCCCAGAAGCATAATGGTCATGGACTTACCCGTACTGTAGTTCCCAATGTATTTAGTCTCTTGTAACTGGGCAAGGAGCAATGCCACTATCTGGTCAACTATGCTGTTGTTGAAAGAATATTGCATAGTTGACCAGATAGTGGCATTGCTCCAAGAAACCAAGCAATAGTGTGGCGGGTCCTAACCCTAGTTGTGGGGGGTGATTTACTTCGGGGAGTCACCTCAATTAGATGTGGCGCGATCAATTTCCGATTAGTCCCATCAATTTCCGATAATGATAATAACAAAAAATTGGCATTAATAAACGTGGTCGGAGGAAATTCAATGAGAGAGTTTGAGTCGTCGGGCGCAGATAATTCCACAGGAGTAGTTCTCGATGTATCATATTTAAATTCAGAGAGCAAACGGAGTGATGACAACTCGGAGAGCGCGGTGCCACGCTTCTTACGACTCTATCTACAGAAAGACGACCTGAAGGAAAAATCCCAAATGACATGGACACCAACCTCTAATGTGCTTGAAGCAGGAATCAAGCACCATAACTTTTCGAACAGCAAAATTGTCTCCAGGATCGTTCAGGGGTGCCGGCGATGCAGCCAATTCAATGAAACGAGTACGCCGTAGCACACGCCAGGGTTAGGGTTTGGCTTCTGTTCGCTTTCTGGATTCAAACCACATCAGTCGGTTGGCAATACCAGTCGGTCGGAGCCACTTAATAACGGCCATTCCATTAGATATATTTTGAACCGCGAAAGTGGCTTTTTCGATACTGTACTACTATTCGGCGCCGGATCGGACGGAAATTTGGACTGATTCGGGGCGAATTTACATGTGTGACGGACGGAAAAGCTGTGTGACGCGTGACGTTTTTGTCGTTATAACGAGGGCAAAAGCACCGTTGATGTTCCAAGATTTATGCTTCCCCTTACTGCTTCCTACTCATCACATCCACAAACAAGAATCACTCGGCTGGATGGGGCAACAACGACGCTCAGAGAAAGAACAGCACAGCGAACCCGCTACAGATCTCGATGGATGTCCCACTGATCTCCCAGCCATCGGCGAGTGAGTGTGTATGTTCCTCCCCTTGGTTCCACAGCAACTTACTTGCTCCCCAAGAGACTGCTAAGGCTGTCCATGGATGAGCAACGACGATTGTACGATTGGCAGTACGTCGTCCTCCACTTCTGGTAGCCTTTCTACACACTACAATATCCTTTGCTACGTAGATGTTCATAGGCTGTATGTCAACTTTCTTGTGTGACCTCGCAAGAAGAAGCAGACTGTAGCATTTAACCTTGGTTGTCTATCCAAAAGGGTTATTCAAGGCGGCTTGGGTGACCCAAGTTAACAATCAATTTCCGATAGAGCCTAATTCCCAGGCTGTCAGATTCTACATTACCTGCTTTCGAAACGTCCGGGTAGACAAGCGGGGCGTCAGATGCGATCAATTTCCGATAAAGCTCATCAATTTCCGATAAGATACGCAAAGCTTCAGTGCTACTTGTTTACACAAAAATCATCAACAAGTCTGAAATGATCGAGATCGGAGCTGTCTCTGAACTTGCAAGAAACTGTGTGTTCATCGTCGGTCAGAGTCATTTATATCCTTCTGGTGTGAATCGCGCTGGGCTGCATCTTGTGTGTGATAACCGTCATTCCTTCTCATCTGCGTTCAGTCCCGAAGGTAGAATTAAAGCCCTCTACCAATCCTACGTCGTCCCCTTCCGAGGAAACTTTCCGACAAACACGTCTCACGCGATTCTTGAATGATCTTGCTTTGCGTCCCAATGATCCACCCTATGATCTCAACGACCCCACATTCGGCAGCAACAGTTCGGAAGGGGCGCTCATCCGCCTCTATTGCTGCTGCTACTGCCAGCAATCCCGAATCCGACTCGTTTTCGTATATCGAGACCCTGCTGGAAGCCTTCGCAGTGCTGGGCAAGCTGGGTAGTGCATTAGACAATACTTATTGGGGAACGTCTTCCCAGCAAAGTCTTTACACTCGACGAAGTCGAGGAGCGTGCAGAGTACGGCCGCTCCCGTTCAACGTCCACATCCAAAGCAGCATGGAAAGTCTCCAATCTTCGTCTCGTCGCGCTCGAGTCTTCCGCCAAGCAAGTCGACCACGAAGTTCTGAAAGACTTTTTCTGGACGACTTACTCGATGCCGTAGCTCAAGGGCTTCGCGTTGTCTATGAAGTCGCCAATCTTCCAACTTTTTATTTCTGTTCATTATATTGCCTCAGTGTCGTGATTTTAAAGACGCCTCTGGGGCAAAAACCAGGCGCTCTCTTCCCATTCAGTACAAGCCGAAGTATGTTCAGCCTCTCTCTATTAGCTGGTGCTCAGTTGAAACAAGGTTCGGACGTTGATTTACGACTATCTGGTGGACGAGAACCAAGGTTCAGTCTCGGGCAGAAACCCCATCTCCTCCATCCATGAGATATTACGAGAGGGTAAGTTTTCCCGCGAGGCTGTGTTCCGACTCACCGATACGGACGTCAAGCAGACAAATAAAGCCCTTAGCTGACTCGCGTCCTTAAAGACACTATGCCAGACCACTGAAAGTACTGTTCAAGCAGCTTTGTCAACTGTTGGCACGGATGATCGTCTTTTGGGTGCTGGCCAACATCATCGATTGTTGGCATTTCTGGACCGCGTTTCAGACGTATTACCTTCTGGAATGGAGTCTGCTATCAGTTCTCGATGATTTTGTCCTTCGCGTCTATCTTCCCCAAGGTCTCACTGCTTTTCCATCAAGCTGTGACTGGACAACCTGATTCTTCTTCAAGAATCTCGACTATCGCCTGAACCTTTGGTCAAAGCTAGCACGCAACTCATGGATCAACTCCCTTTGTGCGATGTTACTCAAGTCACCCTTCCACCGCGAAAATTACTTCTCGATTAATCCTCAGCGTCATGATACAGTTCTATCAACGATGTAGTGACCGCTTCCAGGACCTTGTCTCGGTACCTAATCCCAAAGATCCCGATGCCGAGTCACATCCTGCTCTGTCCGCTCAGTGGGCACGACGGTCGGAACTGGCCCCTTGTCTAGCTGAGATGCTAACCACCACTGTATGTTCCTATATTACCGTTGATAATGAAAACTTTGTAAGCAAGAGACGCATCTCGAACTAAATTTCCTCGGTCAGACGGACCGGACTTGATCGTCTCTATTCACAATCTTGGCGCCTTAGCAAGTTTATATCGCATGGTCTTTTCAGCAACCTCCAATTAACGCGACACCAGTCATGGTTTGCATCAGAGCTTTCAATCAACATCGGACGATACCCTCATGTCCCCTACCAACCTCGAACCTCCCTCGGCCGTAACCCCTTATAATTCTTTCCTGCCCCCACTCCCCACTGTAGCATCGGCTGATAAGAAATGGCACTGTGTGTTTTTTACATATGCGAGTCGGCGTCACTCTAACTGTTCTATAGTCGCTTCCAGGCGCTCTTGAAAACGTATGAACAACTCTCAGAGCTAATCTTGGACTCGATAAGAATCGACACTCGATGTCGTGCACCATCCACTACCTCGAATCGTCGGTGAAATTTGTACGAAGAGTCTCCAAGTGAAGAAGACCTTGCTTACACCCCTACAGGGCAATTATTCCATCGAACGAGAAGCGGGAGGTTTGCAACAACATGTCTCCCAAAACGAGAACGGCGGTATGGTTCATAAGCGGCATTGCCATAATAACGCTTGTGCAGGTTCGTTTTCATGGGGCTCAGGGTGCTCGTCATCTGCGTTTACCAACACCATTGGGCATCAAGAAGATCCTCCGCAACATCCTAGCCTTGCAGCAAAGCGTCAGGACACTGACCAATGAGCAAGAATAGCACGGAATTCGAGCACGCTAAGCGTTACTACCAGCTTTTTAGTGTCACACCCCCCCAACCTTGCCCTGTTGGTTTGTCTCACGTTTTTTTTACTCAAGGAAATGCTGGACGGGATTCGCATCATGCTTAACAATCCTGCATTGGCAACGAGCGAATACCAGCCTCACGAGTAGCTTCGGTTTTAACAGAGCCTGAACTGTCGTTCACGGTGGTGGCTTGACCTTTGCGTGATTCCTTCACAAAGTGCCGCCATCGAATGTTGACTTCACGTCGTTTGCTGAAGGGACCTAGAAGGTTGGCTTCCTCAGATTTGGGATTAGCCCGAGCAGGCAATGTGGGGGGTGTTTCCAGTGCGTCATTTCTCAAGACTGCCGACGGCCGAGACGCTAATCTTCGACGCCAGGTATTATCGGTGTAGGTAACGACGCATTGGGATCAGACAACAGAGGCTTATTTGCAAAGTTAGAACTTGGCGCAGCAATAGCACAACCTCGATAAGTTCGCGTTTGAGCTTGCCCTTGCGACCCTAGGCTACCTTAAGGACGTGATCCAAGGCATGAATTTTGTGGGTGTTTGCAGCTTCCAGACGGCGGGTGTCCTAACATGGAGTCAAAAGGGGAAGTAAAGAGCTATGTCAGCCATTGGACTACCTTTGCCATTCGCTGAAGTTTGGTTTGACGAATGTGAAGAGTTTGAGCCCCAAGGATTGCACGAACATCGTCAAAAGGCATTGAGAACTGCCTATACTATTTCAGTCATCAGTGGAGATATTTGGGATTGTGCCAAACGTGTTGGAAGCTTTCGTGTTTGTCGAAGGAAGGCCTTGTAAGACGCGAAAATCTCCGCCTTCATGATGTCACTCTGACAAAACATTTTGCTTCTAGCCATGGCAAGCACCTCTGTTTGCGTTATGGTATCAGCTCATCGCAACAGCCTCCTAGACGGGACCACACTTGGACGCGCAATCATTAATCGGAAAGTAAAAGATGCACAAAAAGCGCCAGTATCAGCATTGGTAAAGAGACAAATCTAGTTGTTGCTGATCAATCTGTAGTACTGTTTTATCGTATGGGCTGCCATGGTCAAACTTTTATCAGAACGCCGCAGTGTTAAGATCATACAGCAAACAGCAGGATCGAGTCAGAACCCTTACCTTCTGACCGAACAGGAGGAGATTACGGCTCTCAAGAAACAACAAGAACATAAGCGACGCCTCGAAGGCCAGCATGGACAAAGAATATATCTACCAAGAGAAGGCTGCTTTTTTTAGAATGGAGAAGAGGTTTAGCCAGGTAAGAAAATGATTCTGTGATGAGGACAAGTTTCTTCTCACTCCTTTTGAGCGCAACGAAGTCTGGCGACAGCTTTGGCGAGTGCTGGAGCGATCACATCTTGTGGTTCAGATCGTCGACGCCCGTAACCCACTGCGTGTCCGATGCGAAGACCTCGAAGCCTATGTCAACGATGTTGAGGGTCCGGAAGGCGAACAGTAAGAGACGATGCCTGTTGTTGATAAACAAGGCAGACCTACTCACCGCGGCACAAAGGTAAACTCTCTTGATTTTATCCTCAAGTTATGCGCCGGCTCAGATTGACTTTTTAGATGTCAATGGGCGGATTACTTTGATCAACAAGGCGTCAAGTACGCATTCTCAACGCTGTAGCCTTGCAAGAAGCTCGGAGAGAACAACGCGTCGGAAACAGAAGATGTAGATGAAGATTCGTTGCCTAATGAATCTGAGTCAGACGAAGAGTCACATGATGATGCATACTTCTCAGCTGAAGAGGATACACCTGAAGGACAAGATCCAAGGGCCAAGGTCTTGTCCGTCTTAGGATTGTTCCAACAGACTGCGCCGCCACTGACTGGCAAGTTGCCTTTCAGTAGTCTCAGTTGGCGTCTCCTCAACCGTTCATCTACAGTACTGGACAAGTTAGGGTGCAGCAGGATTTAAGTCGTGTTTCAAACCGTGTTTTGAAACAGCTGTTTCAAACCGCTGTTTAAAAGTGCTGTTTCAAAACACATGACCCGTAGGAAAGTTAGGCAATTCAGTTTGTGCTGTAGCAGCTATACTTACAGCTATAGAGGTAGCATACTGATCAACCATTGTTACTCTCCATATTAATGTAACTGGAGGTCTTTTAGTTACTGTCACACGTGTCACACCCTATACAGACAAAACAGAATCTAACGTAGGATAGCAAGAGGCACCCTGAAAGCTTGAGAAATGGTGTAAAGAGACAAGTGAAGATAATGATTCAAAAGGTCAAAAATTGCTATTTTAGGCAATTTTAATCAATCCCTGTTTACAAACCGGTTTCTAAATCAACTGGGAGTTCAAACCGGTTTTAATAACCCCCCAGAATTCAATCCTGCACCCTAGTCCGACAAGTTAAGGTTACGAGGGTCCTACATCTGCTTTCCCTGATAAGTGTTCCGGACGCTAGGACGACTGCGCTGGTTATGATGATCGTCGTCGCGGCTTGCGTTCACTTGCTTTGCGATCAGAGGAAGAGCCTGTGGAATACTTAGCTGGTGTTGGTCCTGGCTGTCCTCCGAGCAGGCCCGGTTTTTGCAGGAGGCACCCCCAGCTCTTGCATGGTGTGGAAGGTCGGTGCGGTGACCGCTCTACAGCGCAGTTTTTCTGTTAACCGTGCTCTGGTTAACATAAAGTTTAATCCGACCCACATATCGTGAATCGGAGTTAAACCCCCCCTTTGACCATGCTTGTGCTGAGCGATGGCCGGTAGCCAGGCAGCCGCCCCAGGGGTCACTTGCAGTTTTTTATGCACTCAAGATTTCTTTTTCCCCGGTGGGGGATTGAACCCCCATAGGTCGAATTAACTTTATGTTAACTGCCATTGAGCGAGCGCTGGTTAACATCTTCTTATGTCGCCCCTTGCGAGTATATACGAAAAGAGTACCCATATTCTGTGTTAAACTATTAGAACCTCCCAGTGTCGATCTGGGCGGGGAATTAGACCCACTGTGAAACTAAATGTGATAGGGGGCGGTCAGGGGAAACACAAGGGGAATGAATACCCCCCTCCTCATTACCTGGCAGGGTTGCCGCGTTCTCGGCGGTCGATCGGAACTCCATCGGCCACAATCAATGACATCAGAATCGATCATGAATCCTCACATCGATGGCCCGGCGTGTTGGGTCTGTGGCCTGCCCACTTTTCAATGGTGCAGTCGATGCAAAAATGCCTATTATTGCTCATTAGAACATCGAAACGCTGTACGTCGACGCGTCGGACTCGTTGTTTAACTGGACTGAATCATAGGATTGGGAGAATCATCGAGGAGAATGTCGGTCGGCACCTCTATCGACACCCATCGTTGATGAAGTGGTGCAGCGGGTCCCTGCCATTTTATTTGCCGCGGATGAAGGTAGGGTTAGATGTTCTTGCCTTGCCATTCACAACTCTACCAGATCGACCGCGGATGGTTGAAATACACTGTCGCGCCCGCAGCGACACTAACCCTTGCCCTAAGCCGATTCTTCAACCGTATTTCAACTCCGTGCCTGGTCAAGTCGTCATCACTCGAGGTCTCACTGGCCAAGTTTTACACTATCCGTTACATGTATTCTACTCTACGGCAGCCTTAGGGTTAGGGTCACCAGTCAATAATGCTGTCCACCACATCACATGGGGAGCTGCCTCGCGCCCTTGGGCAGGCAATGTTATTGCTCTCAGGTTCAGTGGAAAACGACGGAAGGGGTATATCGCGGCGGAATACACTGATATTTCTGCTCTTTCCATATACTTTCTGTCTCACTAGTTTAACCTTGTTCGCGAGTGTCGTCCTACTCGGCTGTGGTAAGTATTGCACTTCTGCTTCGCCTCTACAAAATAGGAAGGGCGGCCGCCTCGTGTCGATGGAGACTCCCTTCGGCCCCAAAAAAGGTACGTCGCCCTGTTCACTGCTGTTCCTCACCCACAGACAGATGCCGCGCACCCTGCGTAAAAGTTTTGCTGACCCTACACAACAACTCAGACGACCAATACCCCAGAGAACCTTGACTCGGAAAAGAACACGCGAGGGGAAGCCCGCCGTGCTCGAGCATAACCCAGACGACCAATACCCCAGCACGACAACAGAGCGCGCTCGATAGATGTTGGTCTGCCATATCAGCAGCCTGGGGGTCTCTTGCGCGTCGCGAGCACGGTCCTAGGGCTGTGGTGGGGAGTGCTGGATAAGACATGGAAATAGAATCTAGTCTTGTTACTGTAGTTCCCAATGTATCCTATGTTTAGTAAACTATTTGGGATTTCTTTTATTCCAAGCCGGAACAAACCTCAGGCGATAAGATATGATCAATTTCCGATTAGACCCATCAATTTCCGATAAGGCCTACCCGCTTAACCTAGCTCCACAACGCCTCAAGGCAGCGTCGTGGCCGACTTTGCACAGCCTCATCAGAGGTTTTATCTTGACCCTCATCTGTTGTCGATGGAGACCTTGTACCCTCTCGGCCCACAAAAGGTACGTCGCCCTGTTCACTGTAAATTTTGCTCTTCCTCACTCACAAACAGACGCCCGCGTGCCCGTTTTGCCGACCCTGACTATCTTCCCCTCCGTTTGACGACGCGACCTGGGCTTGTAACCCAGACGACCACTACCCCAGAGAAGATGAAAAGAAATCAACGCCCCGTGCTGGAGCTGGAGCTCGCGCATAACCTAGCAGCGATGAGCAAAGCAATGACGACGGGAAAGCCTGAGGGGGACGCACACTGGCTTCCTGTGGCGAGGGCGATGCCATTGCAGAATACGGGTCCACCAATGTGTAGGGGGGGCGGTGGGTCCCTCTCCGGGTCTTCCTATGAACGTTATCAGCGGGTTTGGTACCCCAGGAGTGCGCGACGCGAGCACAGTCAGAGGTATGGTGGGGAGTGCTCCATAATACAATCTAGTCTTGTTACTGTAGTTCCCAATGTATCCAATGTTGAACTATTGCGAAAAAAAAAAAAAAAAAAAAAAAAAACTTCAGTTA